TAAAGAAATAATAGTACAAAATGAAGAAAATTAATTTAAACAGAAAATTTTTTTATGTAAAAACATTTGGCTCTGCTAGTTCTCGATCTCGATGTAATAACATCGTAGTAAAAATATGCAGGATGTGACATTTAGGATAAAAAAGATAAGAAACATTCCCACGAGAGTAAATGTAACCAATGTTTATATATTCGCGTATATGTAGATATATAGCGAGTGAGTTGTATCTTGCGATTCCGATATTAACGTCATAGTAAAAATATGGATGTGACATTTAGTACGAAAGAGATTAGAAACATTTCCACGAGAGTTAAAGTATGCAGTATATGGTATATTCGCATATAGTATATGCGAGTGAATTATATAAAAAGAAATTAACAGTAAACCGTATTTTTATTAAATGTAATAATATTGAGAGAAGGCTCGACATTAATTTATTAAATGTAAAGTTCATATTAAGTTTACTATTATTTTCAAATCAGCATTACCTTTACTTCTATATTTTTTAACAGCGCCAAAAGATTTTACATAAAAAAATTTTTTCATTTAAATTAATTTTCTTCATTTTGTACTGTTAGTTCTTTAATTTTTTGTGGTAACACTTGAGATGAATAAAGTAATGCAGTTATACGTTAATGTTTTGAAGGAAGATTAAGTAACTAATGGAACTAGACACCCATTTAAATGGAAACACCTAGACACCCATTTCCTCGATGCCGAACACCTAGACACTCACTTCCTTGACGACGAACAAATAGACATCTCATAGACACTTAATTCCTCGACGGCGAACACCTAGACACTCAGTTTCTCGACGGCAAACACCTAGACACTCTTTTCCTCGATGGCGAACACCTAGACACTTCCTCAACGGTGATCATTTAGACACTCTCTTCCTCGACAATGTAATTCGTCAAAAACAATCTCGATATTTCCTTTTTAATATGTATATACATAAATATTGTAAATTATATTGAATTTTTTTCTGGAGATACGGTAGTGTCTCGATTTATTTAAATTTAAATAAATTACATTACAATGACAATCTCGATATATGATATAAAGTTAAAATCATTTATTATCGAAGAAATGAACCGTACATTTTTCAACTAATCGACAAACATAACGACGAAAATATTAAAAATCAACATATTCACAGACTTTACATTACAATATCTCCGCTCACAGGGCTCTTGTAGAGAAAAAATAAAAATACTTTCATTATATTCTAAGCAATCGGTTGGGCACACATAAAACTTGATCGGTTTAGTCTTTATTGAGATCCAATAACCTCGATTCTCTGAAATTCACCCGGCTCGAGTAAAGTATCCACGGCAATGTCGATATGATAATACAAATTTCAGATGCCTTTCCTGTTTCAAAATATTGTTGCTTTCACGAGTCACTCTTCTGTAAATTCCTTTTGAATAAAAAAGTTATTAATTGCAGCTTGCGATTTGCCTTTACATGTTTTACAAAGAAGCTGATGATTGAATATCTCTACTGCTTAGTCGATCTGTTTGAATTATACATATTTGAACACTGGGAAAATTCCGAGCAGTAGAAGATAGTATACACATGGAAACTGTTACACTTTAATCTTGCATGCTTTAATCAACTTAACTTCTTTCCGTCAAGAATCCGAATAAATAAACCAATCAACATGCTGAGTGTACTGTAATCACACACATGAATAACATGAAAAATACTACGTTGCGTTACGATGGACAGATGAGGACAAATTTAATTTACTTTTGCTGTCGTGTGAAAAATTAAAGATTCATGATTGTTTTTGTTGATTTAAATGTAACTTCTTGGTTTCTCTTTTTGTAATAATATTTTTATTTCGGCTCGTTGCTCCTTAAATTATTTACTATTAAAGCTGATGATTCCGAAAGGCTACGCTAATCATTTTCTGTTCTAAAGAAGATTGAAAAAAAAATATTTGTGATAAGGCTCAATAAATTTAAAAATAATTAAAGGAACACTTTATCTTTTATTCAATTATTTTAAAATTCACGCTTTGGAACATTACATCATTTTCTTATTATTTGTTTATTTACTCATAAATGGTGCTACCTTAGTACTAAAAAATGTTAAACGTAAATTTAACCTAAAGAGTATTTGATACCGTAATCACTATGCTAAATTAATGCCCAGATACATAGAAATTATAAACAAAAATTTTAACACCAATTGGATTCAACCAAGGATTCAACACAGGTATAAAACGTTCCTCATTATGCAGTATATAGATAAAGATGGCCGAGGTTGAAAATAACGGGGGGGGAGGGGGGTTATAACAGAGCTTATAATTTTGTCAAGAAAAGAGATGATAGCTCTATAAAATTGAACGCGACGGCTATCGGCTTATTGCCGCTGCATTGGCGCCACGACAATCGCGTCTCGATCTGCTCAGTGTGGCGTATCATTTGAGGAAATTCAAATAAAATGTTGACAGTTTTGAATGTACTTTCGATGTAGTATTGTTATGATTAATGAGAATGCAGTAATATTAAATCAAATAAGTGGACGTGAAGGCTATAAATATATTTCTATAAGTCTAGAAAAACTACGTATATACGAGAGATGATATTGATCGCGGAAAAATAACCGACACGATGAGCTTTACCATCGAGTTTGCTCATTCGATACAGGAATATACTGTCTGTTTGTCCAGCGAAACAATACAACATGCAACACTGTAAATACATAATATATATAGATGCATTTACGTTCCATGCGAAATAAGTTTGAGCGATGTTTATCCAACTATAGTATGACTTCCGAATAGTGTAATGGAACAGTACTGGAACAATCAGTTATTCCTCTCTTTATTACTTTTTTATGCTAACTTCGTTTATGGCTAACTGCGCACGTAGTTATTTATAGTATGCTCTCGATTTATAGATTCGTGCTAAATTAAAAAAATAATGTAAAATTTGTAAAGCGAACAACTTTCCTCTCTGTCCTATTTTAGTTAATACACTTACAAAAATGAATAAAAAGTAACTTTTAACGGCTTTTTTTGGCGCGAATAGATCAATTCTCGATATACATCATGCATCATCGCAAAGTTGGACCTTTGATTATTAGTTTGCATGTTCTTTGTTATTCGACATTTTAAAAATAATGGCCTAGTATAATTCTCATTCAAATAATCTTAAAATGGACATTTCAAGCTTAATTTTGATTTTTTAAACATATTTTTATCTTCATTACTTATCAAGTTATGCTCATTTGAAGTTTGATAAATTTCTCCCAAATTTATAGTGTACCACTTTTTTTGGAACTGAATGTATCATATTTCAGTTTAATATATTGTTATAGAAGTACAAAATTAATAAATATACTGCATAATTATTTGAACTTTCGTTTTATTTGTGAAAGTACTTTTAGGTATAAAAATGTTAGATATTATATTAAATCAATTAATTAATAATCAAAATTTACGAAGAAAAAATTAATATTAACATAAAAAAGATGTCCGGGTTTCAGCTGTTTAAAATCCGGGGATTTAGAACTCATTGTCCTAGATTAGTGATTCTAGAGATGGCAACTCTAGCCTAATGCAGAATATGTAAAATTATTTGTTTTAAAACAGCGCTTCATCAAAACCATTCCCCGTAAAATAATAGCAAACAGTTTGCTATTTGATCATCTTCAAGCATCTCAACTTTAAACCACCTAGCACGAATGATAAACCGTGTGTTGCAGTATCTGTATAATTTGGCAATGTGTAACTTTTCCTAAATGAGAATATGTTGATGTGTCATATACTTTTTCTTCTGCAATTCATATTTCATCCATTTGCAAGGAAACATCCTTTATCTCTTTCGTCTTGAAACTGCGATACTTTGATGTTCAAGAATTCAAAAATTTCATCTAATATTTTGACTAACTATTTCAAAATAAATTAAATACAGAAACTAAATACATTTACATTAAATATTTATGTATATTTAATTAAATGTATTATAGAATATATAATTTTTTAGTGTTAATGAAGTCTACAAAATTAAACATGGTAGAAAGTGCGGAGATAGCACAAGTGCATTTTTGTGTTCTCTGACACTATCATGGATAATAATCTTCGTTTGCATAATGCTTTGCATAGAATAATAATGTCCCAGAGCTTTAATACTAATTTCGCGATATTTATAGCAGTCACGTATAATTATAAACAAATTTTAATGTTTGACCTAAATTTATCAAATTTTTAAGATGTTTAAAATCGGTTATATGAAAATATTAAAAAACACATAACTATTTTTATTTTATATATAATGTATATATAATAATTTCTTCCATGTAATTTTTGGCGACTGTATTTCATAATGCATAAAGTAAAAATCATGTCCCGTCAAATATGATTGTACATATTTGAATATATTAAATTAAATATATAAACTTTCACGCAACAAAGCTTATTTAATTGTTTTTTTAACCCTTTGTTGTCACACAACACACACACACAATTCTATAAAGTTTCACAGATATCACATTGGATCAAATTAGCTAATTAAAGCTGCCGTAAAAACATAACGTCATTATAACGTTTGGTATTATATTCATGTAAATCTGCAAATAAAAGTGCTCTGATATATATGCTGGTACTGTCAAATAGCGATAACGTCGCATCGTAACGCACAAATAAATAGAAATATAAAACTTATCACATGAACGTCACTACATATTCGTGCCATTGCTACTGACAATATGAGTTCGTTACCATTAGCTTTATCCGAATTCTTACGAATTCTTGATTAAAAAATTACTGAAAAACTAAAACCACAATAAAAAATCTAATACTTTTAAAATAAAATTGGTGCGATCAATAATATCAAGATCTGGACATATCGATGTATGACTTAACAATATAATATAACAATATATGTAATATAACATGAGAATATAGTTGAATACGAAATTATGATACTTTAAATCAGTGTCGACTGGAACGAAGGAAATACCGCAAAAAAAATTTCGCAAAGACTCACCTAGCATCTTCAACACTCTCCTAGATGATCGTCCAGGATAACGTCTGCAGTTTCTCGATTCAGTTCTACCTGGGATAGTCATGTTCGACTTTCTGAGTTTCAGGCCGATCAGCACGTAGAGAAACGTGATCAGACACATCGGTATCACGAAGAACAGGAACGTGGACAGCTCGAACGAGTGGCTGACGATGATTCTTTTGACTGTACACATGACCATGTCCGGATGCTCGTTGTGTTTGACTACGCCGAACTGCAAGGCCTGCGGTAGCGCGAACAATAACGCTACCAGCCATATTATCAAGATCAGTTTGATCGCACGGGAGAGATTCGATAGAGTCTGCGAAAGAAATGGATGACAGATCGCTACGTATCTTTCGACAGTAAAGGAAGCAATGGTGAGTACCGATGCGTTTGTAGACGTCTCCGACGCGAGGCCGCGCAACACGCAGAAACCCTCGCCGAAGATGTAGGGATACTTGCACCAGACCAGGTACATCTCCGCTGGCAGACCCGACACCAGTAGCAACAGGTCTGACACGGCCAGGCTGAAGAGATAATAATTCGTAGCGGTGTGCATAGACTTGTTGCGCGCAATCACGATGCACGTACTGACGTTGCCGACGATCCCCGTGAGAAAGATCGCCGCGTAGATTATAGTCACCGGTATCACCACGTATAAAGAATCCCGATACGACCCGGGCGACATGCTCGTGGATCCCAAGTCCGTATACGTATCATTGAAGTGATCCGATGACGACCCCGAAATATTATCGTAGCTGGCTTTGAAATAAGAGCTGTTTGATAGGATAGAGGCCATCGCAATCTCAATCACTTGATATATGCATACTTGGACAATACTTTGTTCCGTTTGACATCATGAATGGACTTCTGCTAATTAAGTCTTTTTCCGATAATTTATAGCAAAATTATAGGACATTTCTTTATTCTCGTCGGTTTGTTGATTAGTCTCGTACAACAAAGTTTTGATCTGCTGTAACGCACCATTGCATTCTGTTTCTTTCGTCAGTACCTTTTTCTGTAAGTACATTTCTTTTCCGTTTCGCTTTACCGTAAATATTTGACCTCTTGCATGGAAAAGATGAAAATAAGAGAAACTTGATGAATTCACTTAATTTTGAAATTCAATCTCAAAAGTTGTGGAATGGAATTACATACAGATCCTATTTTTGTATATTGAAGTTATAGATACTCCTATATTTATTACTACCGTAGAAATTCGTTTTCTTCCTTGGCATTCTGGATCACTCGCAACAATTAATTCTATTTTAATAATTCGAAGCAAAATTAAAATGTTCCTTCAGTTCGCTAATTGTTTTTATATAATAAAATTTTGCACGCACTGTTAAGTTCATCTTCTTTTGTTTAAGTTTTTCTTCATTTTGTTTCGTTGCAAATAAATTGGCCCCTTATAAAAAATGAGAGCGAAAGAAACTTACGACTTATTTCACTTAATTTTGCAAATTAATTTCCACAAGTTTTGTCGAAATGACGTATTAGGTCTTGTTTCAGTGTTGGTCTTGTTACTGTATGGTTATAGATCTTCCCACATTTACTATAGAAATACACTTCAAGCGCGGGGCGATAATCTTATTATTATTTACTTTATTACTGAAGTATACACGAGCGTGAGATTATGAACGTCACGATGTCGTTTTTTTTTTTTTTATCAAACGCCAATTCGAAATACCTATCTTTTTGATTTTCGTGTCGATAGATTGTCGTTTATTTATAACTTCCTCATGTATGTGTGATAAGTTGAGAGCGGGCGACTCTTTCTCCCACTCAAGACTGATTGCGTGATTTTGCTCGCGATTTTATTTACTTCCGAGCGTTTGTTCATGCAAAGTACGATACCACTATTACTGACGCCGGTCGAATCATGACTGCAGGCCGACGTCGCGACGCACCGGAGAACTCTGGCTGTTCATCTATCCGGCAGCTTCAGCGCTGGCGCGCTAATGTCTCTCGATGCCTCACGTCTGCCAAAATTTTCCCCTTTTATTTTGGATCTTTTTGCTTTCACGAATTATGAAAGACAATAACCAGAAATGTCTTCGTTATTTTTCCTTAGAGTTTGTGTCCTTAAGTCGTGTACCTGTGCTTCAAATAAGCACGTTTAATCTCTTTATGGTGATATTTATATACCGAGAATGCTGAAAAAACTTGTGATTTTGTTCCATCCCTCTCTCGCAGACAAAATTATTTTTATATATTGATTTAGTGGCTTAAAAAGAGAGAGAAGTAGTGATTTCTATAAAAATAATAATCCCTCTTTCGAACTGAAATTATTACCTTGCATTAGTACAGACGTTTTTCTTTGGAATCTCGTATTCTATGAATCAAAAGAAATTATCTTAACGTTTTTATCTTAAGTCCGCATACAATTGTGATATATCTTCTATTTCAATATAATTTCTTTCTATATTTTTGCACCTCTCTTTCTCTCACAAATCCTTTCGACATTTTTCTTTTATTTTAGCATACTTTATTAAATATAAAGTAAGTCGTTAAACGCAAAAGAATAGAGAATAAAATAATCTGAAGATATTAATTGATGTGTAATTAAAATTGCGATCGTGTGATATTTTTAGATACTTCCATATAAATATGACAAGTAATTATCTAATAGCAATTATGAAGCATTGGCAAAACTGTTTACAATCGCGTGCATTTCCGTACATATGCTCTGCGTGTCATTATATAAGTCAAAACTGCATAAACTTGCTTCGAATCAAGCGGCGCAGAAAATAAGTTTAACGCATAAAATGTCTGCTATCCGTGGAAAAAATAAAATTATTAACTATTGTATACATATAGAACTATACTTTAATATTCTCAAGCGCTTTGCTGATAGACATAAACTCAAAGTCGCTTATCGTAATGAGGCACACATTTACGTGTAACTTTAGATTAGATAATTTTTATCTATCTGTTTTGTTCAATTAATTTGCGAGCAATAATCAGATGTCATTACTATGCGTTAAAATGGATTATCCTTCGCACTCCTTATAATAGTCTCATGGATCTGTAATAGTTTATATTTGAGGATGCTAGCGTTTATCAAAACAGAGTACAGTGCGTTGTCGTCCGCCTCTGCTTTCGCAAAAAAATTTGCGGCAACCTTAAGATTGTAAACGGAGACTATTATAGACATCGTTAAGACCGTAATGCAATATAATCACCTTTGTCAATTAGATAATATTTGAAACATTAGTCTTCCTTAAACTCTAGTGCCTCTCAAATTTACTGCGCTTTACTGTACTTCTCTTGTCTTTATCTTTACTCTATAATCCTGAAAACTGCCAATTATCTTTCTCTCTCCATTTACTAACGATTCCTGTTTTAAAAGTGCGTTCAAATTCTTATCCGAGCGCTTCCTAGATATTGTACTATCTTCGTTTAACTCTCGGTAAGCAATAAGAATAAAGTAATACCTAAGTGGCACCGGCCGGATGAGAATCTACATAAAGTGTATTTACTTTGACTTTAATGATGTTGTACAACTTTTAAGGAATTGTATATTTGATAACTTTTTTTAGTATTTACTGTTATACGTTATTTATTATTAATTGCTGTTCTACGAATGAATTGTGCAGTATAGTTTGTACGCCAATTTTTGTTACAAAAAACGAAATCGTACCAGAACTGTTATTTTTCGTGAGCACTTAATAGTACATGCATTGTATAGATTACCAATTCTTAAGCTTTAAAAGCCTTCGCGTTAATTGATTATTTAGACCGAGGAGGTAACCACTATCCGAAATATTGTCCCACCCTACATGATTTCATTCGATTTTATATATATTTCTTTGATGACAAATAATTTTCCTCACTATATATGCGGTCATTTGGTAAAATAAACGATTTTATCTAATATTATAAAATTATTTCTTGTAGTTGCATATGTAATTATCGGATTTCATATATCGAAATTTCTTATAAATTTTATGATTTTAAGACTCCATCCCACGATCACATTAAGTGATTACCCCCTCGATTTGGAGGTGAAGCTGACACGCATCTCTTTCAATTATCTTCCTTAATTAATATTTTTAGCAACGTTGCACGCGATCAATCATTGCTGTCCAAATCATTGTTATCTCATCCTGAGAGAGCAACGTAAGATCCATTCATTATATTAGAACTAATTACACTATTAACAGATAATGTTAAATGTCACGACATTATAAAGAGAGAAATCGACTTTTACAAACGACATATTAAAGCTAAAATATTAGAGTAAACAAAACGTTTTCGTAATCACAAGCGGAGCGCGAATGCGACGCATTCGAATTGTAATCGTATCTGTCATGAGAGAAAATGATTTTCCTTTAAAAGAAGACCATTTATTCTTATAATTATTCGAATGCACTGCATTCTGCGGAGCATGAATGCAATGAATAATAAATATATTTGCATGTTATCTGGTTACATAAGCAACAAGTGATTAAAATAAATCATGATTGTGTAAGATATTTAAAAGTTACAGAAGTGTTTTATTCTTCTGCATGATTCAAATAGCATGTTGATATATTATATCCATTTTGTAAATTTGATATTTTATAATCTTTTAGGAAATATATATATATATATATATATAATGCAAATGTTTTGCCTGTTTTATATTACGATTACAAAAACTCGATCTATAATAGGAATTGATGTATAAGTTGTTATTATTGTATAATTTTTGTACGATATTGCAGATATAAAGTAGCAGTTAATAATGATAAATAGTGTACAGTTGTAAATAATATATTATTAAACAAAAATTAGAACAATTGAAGTGCTAAGAGCCAGTTATAACTTTAATTTGTTTATTCTCACAAAGCCTATTATTATTTACTATATTTATATATTTATTATTAAAATTCCTGAGTACAATATTTTAGTTGCACAGCATCATTAGTAAATACGTATCATGATTTTAATAGCTCGATTAACCGTACGACATCGTTCGATAAACTATAATATTCCGTTTGACAAACTATACTTTCTCAATTAAGATTATATGTAATACTTGATATCATATGTAAATGCAATTATAATTAGAAGCAATAAACCACCGATGTGCTATATACAGCAACCAATTAATGCAAATTGAATTCAATTGTTAGAATCTCAGTTATACGTGTTGAGAAATCGGCAGAGTTGGGAAGTAACGCATTACTTGTAACGACGTCATCTTTTTCGTTACTTTCTTTTTAATAACGCCGTTACTTTTTTTATTAGTAACGAAAAAGTAACGACGTTATATTTTTATTGGTAACGAGTAACGAAATTGACCTCGTTACTTGTATCGTTACTTCTTCGATTATACACTTTGATAGGTCACGGCCGTCATTGATTATAGTAAATTTTTTACTATTCATTGATTATAGTAAATTTTGGATCACAATGAAATAGCCGGATGGCATAACTTGTTTTAGGAAAATTCCTAAGGCCAGTTCACATCGAGTGACTTATTTCTATTATCCGCGTTGGGATTCCCTGTAACACTTGGGTGGGAAATTTCCACTGAGGGAATCTAAACGCACTCATAAATGTTTCGTTTTTTTTGTAACAATATATTCAATAGGCGCATTTAGCGAACTCAACAATTGAGTGAGCGCTCATTGTTATTGGTGTATTCCTTCTAGATCATGCATAGCAATAAAAATTGTAGATCTAGAGAAATACGTCAATAGCAGCAAACGCTCACTCAACTGTTAAGTCTGCTGAACGCAGCTAATGATTGTTTAGAAAGAGCGGGATATATGAGTTGATAAAAGTATAAAATAGGAAACTCAATATTTGCCTTAAAGAAGAAAGAGAAATGGGATATATGTAAGTAAATATCAGGCTTGGCGACGTTACCTCATAAAAATAACTCGTTACTGTTACCGTTATTTTTCCTAAAAAATAACTCGTTCCCGTTACTCGTTATTGAGTTGCAAAAGTAACGTTATCGTTACTCAAAGTATAATGAATCGTTACTTTTTCGTTACTTTTTTTCTTAACACTGATATATATAATATTGAAAAAACATCAAAGTTCTATTTTTTAGTAGAGGAATAAAAAAATGTGTATATACATGTATATAGATATATAATTTTTAATTATATACATACAATATATAAAAAATATATATTCATATTAGGGTAGAATTTCAAATGATTTCGCTGGTCTGATCACTACAGTATACATGCTACATGTTAGCCTACAGGTGCATTCCGTTTCACCCATAGTGCGTACATGATACATTATTTTATCCTTGTCGTTCACCAAATAATTAAAGAAAGATATAATGATACATTATGCGCATAATGCGTGAAACGGAACGCAGCCGTATAATAATTGTGTGTTGTAGTGGATATTGAAACTATAATAAAAAAAATCGCAACAGTACCGTTGGACATTATTAACTTATAGGAGATGAAATATCTATTCAGAAAAGAAGAAACCGATCAATTTGCAAACTTCTGTATGTAAAGCTATACAACATCGTTCAAACAAAAGTTATCATTCCGTATCCACGTTTTGTGGCCATCCTTTATTCTATAATAGAATATCTATTTACACGTAGAACAAATATAAGATAGGTATAATTTAACTACGAAGTAAGCGTAATAATTTTCTTGTCGAAAATACAAGAAAGGACAAGAAAGGCGTCAAAGTGGTCATCCATAATAGCGTTGACGTATATTCGGTGCAGGAACTTTCACCTGTAATCACAAAATAACATAACTGAATTTATAATATTTATATAAACACACGGTTACTTATGTAATAAACGATATCATAATAAGACTTGATTGAAATATTTCAGTAACGAGCATATAAAAAATACAGAACTGTATATTTACTATGACATCATATCAAGCCGTCGATATCAGTTGTCTTTCTAACGCAATTAAGTATTTGCAAAATTGCTTCAAAAAGTAAATTGTATATATATATATATTTATATATATATATATATATATATATATGTATATAATTTTTCTTGTATGAGTATCTTTTAAAGTCACTGTACTTGTACATATAATAGCAAAAAAATATATTTACAACAACAAAACCTACGTGAAAATGATTGGTTGCACCATAGTAAGGATATACGCCACCAAGGACATAGCGATAATAACCATTATGTCTGATGCGATACTCGCCCAGTTTAACATCCTGCGGGACTTCCCACGTAATGGTCACCTGACTCGACCCCAGTATCACAGAAGTTCGTTTCCATTGAAATCTAAAAGCCCACGAATGTTCCATTATGAATTTATTACGCTATGAAAGGTAAAAGTGAGTTACAGCTATATGAAAGAAGTTAAAAGGAAGAATTACGTATTTCCTATCCTTTGTCTAATTATTAATGTACGTATTCTGGATACATCAAGATCGTTGATACGCAATAACGCGATTACGTATATACGTACTTGGTCTCCCAATCAGCATCCGTGGCTACTGGTATCCAAACTTCATCATCCTCTAATCGCTCCACGGCTAGGAACGTACTCTCGGTCATTAAATTATTACGAGGATGACCGGAGACCTGCAACATAATGCAAATAATGGCACTATATCCGTCCGCGCCGTGTAGCTGTGCGTTCTTCCTCGATCCATTATTGTCGCGCTTCATTTGTAATCGAATACACGTATACATGTCCATCTATCAGCAAAATAAACGAGGCTCTCGCTGTTTCTACCTTGAAATACGATCTTTACTTGGGACACGGAATCGCAAAGCGACGTGTTTACCGCCAGATATCATAAGCCAGATATCATAAGCAGCGTTCCACGCGAAAGAAGTTTTCTCAAGCGATCAATATGAGCCGGGATAGGCGGGAAGAGGGAAGGGAGAAGTTTTAAACTGACCTCGCGCGCATAAAGTCACGGACTGCGATTCATTTGTACCTGCAGAGACACCGAGTGCTTTCACGATGCATCTCGCGCCTCCGTCGCCGGAAATTATATAGCTATAGAAAGTAATTTACGATTGCTTAATCCATTCGCATCGCGTCATCGAAGGCAATCTATTTTCCGAGTGTTAGGCGAGTGCGCAGGAAAACGTCGCATTGCTTTTTATTGCATGACTCAATCGCGATAAAAACGCGGGTACGCCACGATTAACAATAAACGGCGATTTCCGCCGTAAAAGATCAACGTGACTATCCATTCTCGCCTCCATTCGTCGGATCGACAAAAGTGTGTAAAAAAAATTTCTTGAAAGATTGCACGTTAAAATAAACTAATTTTGCATTATAGTTTGTTACTAAAGTGTGTGTGAACAATCTGAAAGCTCAGCAAAATCAGAAGACAGTTATGGGTCTCTTTCCTTGTTAGCTCATTTATGGTAATAACTCAAAAAGCATGTTTTAGAGTCGTGTTAATGTTAAAATAAGGGAGCGATATGTATTGTATGATTGTAAATTGCGCAAAATTAATTAATTCATCACAAATATATATATATATATATATACATATATGTTTAATGAGGAATATTTGTATAAAATATATAATCAATAACTTGATTAATAATCCACGCCTTTTATAGTAATTATTGTGTCATCATTGTCGATAATTAACCAAATAATTATATTTAGCAATATACGTAATACTGAGTTAATTTATGATCGAAACCATAAAATAATATAGAATAGAAATCATTTAACATGTATCAATATTGTATCATTATATTATTCATTCATATATTTATTACCTATACAGGGTGTTCTCGTATTAGTGCTCATCTCTTTTTATCTCGGAACCTAACAGAGATTAAACAATTTCAACTAAACACTATTGTAGACATAGTGTGATTATTTAGAAAAATTATTTGCTTTATATAGTGAAAGAATTATGTATTTTTGTTAGAAACGGTCCATTCACGTTCTCGTTCATAACAGTTTGTGTTAAATTTTTTAACTTCTTATTTAGAAAGATATTAATTTAATATACTATAATTATGTTATTTAAAGATTTGTGTTAAATTGATATTCAATATTTATCCAATTGTAAGATGAATGAACAAAATGTGAGTTAATTTAACATATATCATAAATATTTATTTTACTGAAAAAGTATGCTACCGGTTTGCTTACAAATTGTGTCAATATTATCTTCTTTGTATTTATTCTCTTATATAACGCTTGTCTGACTTTCTAACATATTCATCTTGTGTATTAAATTAACCCAAAAATTTGAGTGCTCCGTTTAAGACATGCGATTTATGTAAAATTCGACACATTTTTTCCAAGTATAGAGAACTGACAATAAAATATGGCGACGTACATTAATAAATAAAAACACACGAAATTTATTTAGTAAAATTATTCGTGTATCATTTCCACGGTTTAGTTTATACATGACTGCGAATTCGCAAAATTTCCTGTTAATGTAATTAATCCAGTCGATTCGCAATGTGTTATGTTGCATCAAATGTTCATTATTGCAGTGTTTACGGACAGTTGATGTGCACGGGACAGCACGGTCGCATAGTAATCGGTCCATTTCTTAGCGTATCCATCGTTTAAATGACTCGCGAAGCAAATAGCACCGTTACATGCAAAATAGCATTGTATATGTCGTACGCAAGCTAGCGAGCACTCCTCCCCGACCTATCCAATCCAAATTCAGTTATGCAACATTTCGCGTAATCTCCATGTTTGACGCCGATACAGACTTGATTCAGTTTACAGTTTCATCGATGACTTTATTGTTTGAAAACGAATGACGATTTCACACGAGGGAAAAAGACATACTCTTCTACACTAAAAAATCTAGGTTCAAATCCTACCAGGCATATAAAGGATTTTTTCTAGGTACGATTTAAATTGTGATTAAGTGGTATATAAGATCTTGAGGAATAGGAGGGCGCGTTGGTACGTTCAGCACTTATTTAAGAAGAGCGCAATAAAAAGTGGAGAGAAAATGTAATTAATAAAAACTATCTAGGGATTGGACATAGAATTCTATAGATATCAGAAGTCATCATCCAGGTATTAGATAGAAAACATGAATGAGAAAGATTGACATAATAAAATGTTTCTTTTAATTTATATTTGCTATCTAGTGTAAGGCAGACAGTTATTAGTTAATTTTCTTTGTATAGCTAATTTTCCGTATACAGCTACTGGGAGAGATGAGCGTTACATTTTTTCCACATAGTAGCTATCTACAGACACTGGTTATAATAGATGAGACAAAACTGTTCTATTTCATATCTACATTATCCCTTAATCATATAAAAAAGGTTGAAACCAAAAACCTTTTATTTTAATGTATTTTTTACCGTTTGTATTTTTTTGACTCACGGATGCCCCGATTTTTCCTACATTAAAATACTTAGAGAAGTATACGTAGGGGCTTTTCGATATATAAAAAACTTTATACTTTATGAACAGTTTTTCGCAAAATTTTTTTTAGCAAAAAATGCAAGTGTCACTTCAAATGCCTGTCATTCTTGAAAATATCAATATTTTCACAAACCCCTACATATATTTCACTAGGTATTTTATTTTACTTTAAAAAAAATTTATTCTTTTGCTCTCGGTCAAAATTTGTGGATGCTAGATGTCGTGCCCCCTCAAAAACCGTACTGACTTCTGTCACTGGTGGTGCCGCCATTTTGAATGTAAAAAATAGAAAAGATTTTTTTATAGAACTTTAATATATGCACTAACCAGTGCTTTAATTTAATTTTATATTAAATTATTTCTTTTAGTTAAAAGAAAATTTTGATTTTATTGCTGCTTTTATGCCCGCTATACTGTGCGGCCATACCCTTTAACGTACTCTTTCTCGGAATAACATAAGTGCCTATCACAAATATAAGGGTCGAGATACCAATGAGATACTTACAAAAATCGCTATAATCTTGTCACCGGGCAATGCGACTTTTTGAGGCTGTTGGATAACATCCCCGAAGCTGTGTCCCCATAGCGGAGTGTCGTACAGTACAGGAGGTACAAGAGAGATCAACTTACTTTGCAGCAGTTTCGGAGCGGGTGGTCCTGGTGAAACAGATTTGTTCTGCAACAACAGTAAAACATAACGTGCGTTCTTAATATAAATTCGATATACGATTAGCAAGAACGAGAAAATTGTTTTATTTGATATGTCATGTCTATTTTTCTATTAATTTTAGTGTAATTGTTGCGTTCTCTCTCTCGTTCCCCGACCTTTTCCCGCTCACACGAACTACCTCCAATTCCGTGGCTGAGCTTATCGGTTATCGCCGTCGCAGTTAACGCAACTTTAGAGATTCGAAGGAAAAAAATTTTAGAGAGATAAAACGGAGTTATCGAAGAGTGGCACGATCTCTCGTGCCTGGCGCCCAGCCGTGTGAGTGATTGAGAGGAATTGGTAGCGAATCTCGCATAACGGCTACCGAGCGTTTGTTATAAAAATTGAGAGTGAAAAGCGATGAAGTTGCGCCGTTGCTCGTGAGTACGGTCGTAAAAAATTAACACAAAAAAATGTAATACTATTACATTTTGAAAGAAAATTGTAAGAGCTTTTTTTTTCACACGCCATATACAATTAAACTTTATATTGTAAATTTATTAACAATATTTATAATTATTAAATCCATTTAGCTCGATTTAGACCCTTTAATTTGCATTGCGATATAAACGAGCAAAATTTAATAATATAATATTATTTTTATTTATTTTTTCACAAATTGTGTTATCTCTATAATAAAAAATGTCGAGTATTAATTTAAAATAAAATATTCAGGCAACACAATTATATTATATTAAATTAATGCTTGAAAATATGTCAAAAGTTTTAACAAAGATCAGTTTTAACACAAATACAAAATATCTCTGTGCATGTTTTATTTACTCACTTGAATAGCCGCTTTTACTAACTCCTCATATTGCCTCAAGTATATTGTAAGTGTGTGTGGACCAAAAATTGTCGATGCGCCTTCATATCTCTGTATCTGAAAGTTAATTTAGTGACTATCATACATTATACACATCGGGATCCGTTTTAAGAAAAAATAAATCCACATTCAAAGAAAACCAATCGACGATTTTATGTATCATTTATTTCGCCACTTATTAAAAGACTTGTCAGAAAATAATGTAATACAAGACCGAGGAGTTTTGATATAGAGACGTGTTGCAATAGGAATGTAGTTTGAAAAGTTCCTTGTTTGTCCAGCTTCACGCGGGTCTGTTTGACACAGAAATAATGCCATAAATATCAAACTGTTATAATTTTAGGCAAGAGTTTGATCCTTTATAGGGCTACTGTTAAAATTTCAGGCAGGTGCGTAGATAATTAGTTTCTTTGTTACGTTCGTATAAAGCAACCAACTTTTGGTTCCATCATGACAATTCGCCCACATTACTTCAATTGCAGCAGTTGCAAAATTCCATAAATTAGTTTCACAAGCACCATATTTCATTAGATTTTACGTGATCTGGACTATTATAATTCATGAAATTTGCAACTGCAATTGAAAAAAAATGCGAACGGGTGCATTGATGGAATCATGATGGAAACAATGCAAAAGATTGATTGTTTTACACAAATGAGACAAAGAGACGTCTGTCTGATATTTTAACAGTAGTAAAGGATCGAACTAAAATTATAGCAGTATTTGTGCTGTGGCATCATTTCCGTGTCAAGCTGAAAACTTTTCAGACTACTTTCGTATTATAAATCGCGGTGACTAATCCAACACGTTCTACCCCTGGAAACCCCCAAAGTGGTCCCGATTCTCGAGTGAATTGTCTATGCTTGGTAATAATAATAATAATGATCAACAGTTTACTTGATACTCCTCAGGCGTGGTCACGTAATCGCTATAAGTATTGCAGAGCCCTGCAACTATTACGGACGTTTCGTCGTAGGATGCATCGTTCATAACTCTCCTGATAGTCTCTCGCAATCTTCTTCCGGACATTGTCGTGAATTCGCCAGGCACGCCAGCAATGACAACGTTTCCGATTACGGCGACTTGCGTCGAGACAATTTTTGGCTGCCACTGATACGGAATTTTCATCTGAAATCATTAGTCATCGTTCAACAATTTAGTGCGCGCCACTGACAATTAATGACGACGTAATGATTTCAAAGCGTCCAATTACGCCACGCTGCGTATACGTATCACGCATTACAGACATTTCCATTTTCTATCCATCCAAATTACGACTCGTTAATATCTAAACGCGATAATTCACATTCGCTCTTGTTGTCAATGTTTCTTAATTCGTAGTGTCTAAAGAAAAGATTCCAAAGTCTGTCTATCGCACAATATATACATAAAAATAACCATTTTGAGAATGTTACTTATTATTTTTGGCATTTAATGAGATATAATTATAACACTCCAAAATATGTTATTAGTAATTTGATAAATACAAAACTTTGTGAGTAAATTTTTTTATATTTTTACTTTAATCGAACTTTGAAATAGATTTGGGATTATATGGCCAAAGTGCCCTTGGTAGATAGACTTAGTAGTATAGACTTACCCGTCCAGTAGGTAATAAAATAGGTTTCGGGCTCTGACAACGAATATCATCTTCCGTGGGAGAGGCCAAAAAGTTTCGTACGGCATTCCAAAGGGGATTCGACGTTGTTGTTCCTTGCTCAAAAGCAAATGAGCCAGGTCCGTCGGTTGTACCAGCTGCAAAGCTATAACCCATCGCTGGTACGCAACCGCGCACCTGTAAAAAAAAAAAAACCCTCGAATAAATTTTTCCTTCATCAAGAATTTGCTCCCAGAATTACGGATGATAATCGTTATTCACCTCCTCAGTCTTTTTTGTTGTTTCGTTGTAAAATTCTGCAAATTGTTCCGGCATATTGACGTATTGATGAACTACTCGCAATGGTCCAATTACTTCCACCGCTTCGTTACTTTGCCATAATCTCTACAAAACAAAGAAAATTGTATACGAACAAGATAAGAAGTTTATTTATAATAATAAATAATAATACGGCTCTGTATAAGTATAAAACAAAATAGAACAATTGAAGGGCTAAGAGCCAGTTATATAATAAAAACGTTTAAAATTGAATTACAATCAGCTCAAATAAATTAACAAATTAAAATTAACAATAAACTTCCCAGGTCAAGAATAAATTGAGCAATAATGGTCGTCAAATATGTCTATAAATTCATTATAATGATAACATTAATATACGGTACGTTTCGACTTCACAGAGTTCTCATCAGCCGTAAAAAAAACCCCTTATGGATTAAACAATATTAACTTCGAATTTTTGTACACATTTTTAACAATAAGATCGCTCGGATAAAATACAATTATACCATCGCTTTGTTACGTCGCATGAATTTATACTAATTATACGTTTTTACAAACCAACATCAGAGCAACTGGTTTGTAAAAACGTATAATTAGTATAAATTCATGCGACGTAACAAAGCGATGGTACAATTGTATTTTATCCGAGCGATCTTATTGTTAAAAATGTGTACAAAAATTCGAAGTTAATATTGTTTAATCCATAAGGGGTTTTTTTACGGCTGATGAGGACTCTGTGAAGTCGAAACGTATATTAATGTTATCATTATAATAAATTCATAGATATATTTAACAACCATTATTGCTTAATTTATTCTTGACCTGGGAGGTTTATTGTTAATTTTAAAAACGTTTAATTTAAAATGTAAAGATAAAAATTACAAACGTTTCGACACCGATTGAGTTATTCTCTCTCAATGTATAAATTTATTTGTATTATTTCTCTGTTAAAAAATATATTTTACTTTCGATATTGATGTCGTTATCAATTAAGTTATTATAATAACTAATTAAACACAATTAAAATTGCTAGAACTGGAATTTATAATAGCAATTACATAATATAAGTATAAAATTTATTATTATACCGATATTTATTATAATCAGAGATAAAAATGACCAAATTTTACCATAATTTACTCGGTAATTAACTGTAAATTATAAAGATAAAATGGTAATTTAAAAAAATTATAAAATAAAAGTAATTTGATATAAAAGTATTTAGTAGGGCTGGTTCCTTCCTTAGACATTTTTGCGTATCATTAACGGTAACGGAAATATTGCCTCTTAGTTTTAAAATTTTCGTGTAACACCTGCGATTATAAAGGAATAAAATGATGTCCTTTGGCAGTAGACTTCTAATGTTTCTTCTTTGCAAGCAAAAATAACGACTTTTAACAATCATATTACAATTACATTATTGCGACAAATGATTGACACGTCTCGAACTCATGCATTTTAATACTATATGCGCAAAGGAAGAAAATAGCAGAGAAACTATCAAGAATAAATCGCTTTGTCTGTTCAATCAAATTCAGAAGAAAATTGTATGAAAAAGACAAGTAAGAAGTTAAGCGTGGGGCAGGGGGAAGGGAAACGGCGTACGTACGGAAGTCGGAGGATGTTTCGAAAAGTAGAAAAACACGGCTCGTATTTCTTTGACGCAGCGATATATCGCGCATGAAGGCGCGAAAGCATGGCACGCGAGCGAGCGCGCACGCACGGGACGCACGTATAATGTACGCACGCGTACATACGCGCGCGCGAAACGCATCCGTCGTATAACGTCCGGCCGCTATGTACAACGCCTTCTACGGCTGTAGAAACTGCTCCTCGCTCTCCTTTGTGATGCTAATGTCTCTTCACGAAACTGACGATGGCGATCGCTGGTCTCGTGCCCTCGTCACGCTTAAGGAACACGCGGAATATATAGGTATGTTAATTATAGCGGCAGTGAAGGCTTAGCCGCGCGCGTCCCTAGCTCCTGTATTACGAACTGCGAGAGGCGGGCAGTACACACATTGAAATACCCCGCTCTCTGTGCGGTTCGCAGCGAGCTGGGACCATAGCTGGATGCCCGACGTGAATCCGAATACGTCTTTACCTGCTTTGATATACATGCAGCATCCTGATTGCCCGCTTTTCCCTCGGTATAGCCGGAGATGTTAATAATTTCGCTCTCGCGCAACGCACCGCCGCTGTAGCGTATGACGTAATCCGCAATTCTCTTATCCCGAGCTTAAAATCGTGATCACTCTTCTTTATACCTTTTTACTTTTCTGTCAATATTACAATATTATGCCGAACGCGGTGGAGTATTCTCCACCATGCATATACTCGCGGGGAATCGACGTGGCTTGCGAATTTAATCCGCCCTTTGATTCCGATGATTTTTATTTCCCTATGCGGTTTATTTAAGGATGAAACGCAAATTTTTTGAAGTTGCATATATTCTACTGAGCGTTTCGCAACGTACTACCGCATAATTAGCCCCTTTTGCAGAGCGATTATTTTTTTTTTACAATTTATTGAGAGAGAGACTGACTATTCGTAAAAGCACGAAGCTTCTGTGCTATCGGACGTATTACACTTACTCGCAATTTTATAATAACTCGCTTATTTTTATATTGAGTTTTATTATATGTATGTATATTTAGATACTATATATGTATTCACAGTAGCAAAAAAATTCCATTATTGACATTCAAATAAGTTTTAGGGTATTATTTCATTTAACGTGCGTTTTTGTTGTACGACAAATGTTTCAAGCCTGTTGATTGACTATGGATAGAGAGATCAGAGGATGTCTCTGTCCTGCATACATTTGTCGTCCGACAAAAACGTATGAATGAAACAGCACCCTTACTTCGTTGACGTTGGATTAATCTTAACTCTACAATTTTCAATCATAGACTTCCATTGCGTTAACTTATCTGAGAGGAGAGAGTTATTTGCATCCTGCCAGTTAATATGGGTCTTCGCTCCTTTTAACACTCTGAAAACTATTTTGTACTTATATTAAAAATGATCCATTCACATTTTCATATAAAAATTTTGTATAACATTTTTAACGTGTCCGAGTGTTAATTTAACATAATGTGATTATATTGTTTGTATATTTTGTATAAAATTAGTATTCAACATTTTTTAGTATCAAGTAACACAATTTATAAGTAAATAAACGCATAACACAAAAATAAATATTTTTTTATAAAACGCAAATTCTGAGATAAATAAAATATATTATTATAATTTAATATATTAGAAAGGTATTAATCTCTTAATATATATGAGATGTGTTCATTTTTTACGTAATATTTATATTACTTTCCAACATATTCATTTTGTGTTAAATTAGAACAAAAATTTGAGTGTACCTTTTGGGACATGTAAAATATGTTAAAAACACAAACTTTTTATTATATAATAATTATATCGTGTATGTAATTAACTACCTCGTTAACTGTATGTATTATTAACTTTTTATTTGTTCTTGCTGGTTTTATTCAAAACTTTCGTAGTCTCATTAAGAGAGGTTCTAATTGTAAGCAAGAAGAACAGCGGAGTTGACACTAAAATTCGATTTACGAAATTTACGTCAGTGCAGAGTTACAAATGGCCTTACCGAGAGAAAGTTTTCTTTTTTCCATTTTTCTCTGTCCACGTTGACATTCGGAAACGCGCAAACCGGGGACCATTTGTATTCGAGTGTCGACGAGTCATCTATGTCTATATATAACATTACGACAAACGTCTTTAATACTTGTATACGCCTGCGACGTCGCGTCGGAGGGAAAGTAAGTGGCTGGCGGAAGGTGGCCGTGTTGCATGTACGAGAAGACGCGAAGCGAGATATTTCGATCGTACGGGTGCGAGCGAAGAAATAATGACGAATGATGTCCGAATGAATTAGGCACAAGAGTGCCTCGCGTATACACGTTCATATTGGTTGCGTCCGGCAGAAAATGTTCTAATTCGAAATACCACAAGAACGTATATTGTTATTCCTATGTATTTACATTTTCAGATAGCACGAGGTCAAGTCAATTAAGTTCTTGGAAAATCTGTCAGAGGGCACTCGCAGTGTCATGTCACATTACTTTTTGACAAGTAGCATCTTTCGGCTGATTACTGTCAACTTTTGAGCGGGAATTTGATTTCGTTAAATCAAAGTCAAGTTGGATAATGTTCATCGCGTACATCGACGCGCCTCGTTCGGGACGTCCAATTGAGGCTGCTACGCCAGAAATCATCGTTAAAGTCCACGATATTGTTTTGACTGATCGACGAGTGAAAGTGCGCGAGCTTGTTGAGGCCACAGGCATATCACATGGCACAGCGATTTCAATTTTTGCACGAACAATCGGGTATGAAAAAGCTATCGGCAAGATGCCGCGTTTGCTCACTGTGGACCATAAAAGCGCGACCGTGTGACGATTTCAAGACAACGTTCGGAGACGTTTCAACGTAATTCAGATGAATTTCTGCCTCGATTCATTACTGTGGACGAAACATGGATCCATTTACTTCACACCCGAAACCAAGGAACATTAATAACACAGGGGTTTTGGATCTCGTGAGATAAACGTAACGACATTCAATAAGATTGATATACGTTAAGAAGGAAACAGGGTTACGTCAAGTGTGCTGAATTAAGTGTAACATTAGTTTACACGTTATAGAGATTAAGCTCTCTCTCTCTCTCTCTCTCTCTCTGCTTCACATCAATAGTTTCCTGAGGAAGTAAATAATTACTTCGATTAATGTGAAATTTTATGATATTAGCCTTTATATTATAAATTCAGGCTTACAATCAGTTTTAATAAATTAATTATAAAGGGATTTAAATTAATTGTAATAAAATATGTAATGTGATCATAATAACATTATTATATCTATAACGGTTAACCGCGGTTAGAGGATCAAATTTAAGCTTAATAAATAATAAACCAAATTTATTGGCGTCAAATTTAATAGTTTAACTCATATATTTCAGTTAAACTATGTAACTTTATCGTTTCACGCATTTAAATTTACGACATATTAAATGGAAGTAATATGACGATCTATACTTCTACAGGAATAATAAAAACTGAAATTGAATACATTTTGACATTACGAATTTAATAGTGTTCGAATATTTTCTTAAAAAAAAAAAAAAAGAATTACATTTTTAAAACAACAAATAATACAGATTTAAATTCAATATCAATTTACGGCATATTTAATTTCATTTATTGACAATTTAATTAATGAATATTGCAACAAATAAACAAACAAACGTTTATGTAAACAATCACAACGAAAAATTAAAAATTATAACAATAATAAATATAAAAATGAAGCTCTTAACAATTATTTCATCATGTAATTATATAGTTATACATATATATACCAAACACTTTTTATTTTTCTCTGTAGAGATCATATATTACATTCCAGGATTTTATTCATAGACCGCTATACGCTATACTTGGTAAATGCTCACATAATAGTACCGGTATTATTTAAATCCGCTTTGAGATAGTAATCGGAGGAATTGCCACAAAGCCGCTTAAAATATCTCATTGGTCTTCATAAATATCATAATGTGAAGAATTGTGTATCCACACTTTCAGCACAATGCTGTAAGTTTATCTGTAGCCAATTTAATTCAACGTTTAGTCTATTTTTGAAGCGGTTATATTAAAGCTTAAAGAGTTTTTTTCTATTTCGCAAAATTCCTCAAGGGACTTACATTTTGCGGAAGACACGAAATGTGCTTCGGGACTTCGAATTTATTCGCTTTAAAAGCACTGAGCGATCAATGAAGTATGCACATCTGCATGCATTTTCGAATTATGCTGTTTTGTAAAATATGTAACGTTACTGCCTTTTAGCATAAAATAAAAAATGTATAGTTGTCAAAGGATCTTTTTTACACGTGCAAACCAGTTTTTCAGATCATTTTTTATTCTAACATCGCGTAGACGATAAAAAATATTCTTAGAGAATTAGGAGGATCTGTTATCAGTTGATGTGATAGAAACATACAGCATCGTACTATTCTCTTTTATTAAATTAATATAACAGTTTTGATGTAATTTTGAGATATTCGCAACAAAATAATGGCTACGTTTACACCGTGCGCTTAGTCCGCGACCTATACGATAAGTGTCTTTGTTTAAGCTACAGGATAAACAAGGACATCTATTGTTTAGGCCGCGGCCTAAATGCACGGTGTAAACGTAGCCATTTAGAAAGGGTATCTACAGTAACAAAAAATCGAAAATGGAAAGTAACATTAATTCCAATTAGCAGTCACAATTCAAATCTTTTACTATAAAGAACGTGTGGCTATCGAAGGGTCTTTCTTTCACAACTTCACAAAGATGATAAAAAAATTCTCAGATGTGATCAGAAGAATATATTAAATTACGAATTAATGTAATATAGATAAACTGTATCGCTGAGCTCTTTTGTTGAATTATAATAAATAATTGATATATTCGCAATTAATAGCGAAAAGTTTACAACAGGAAACAAGGAAATAGTATTAATTTTAATTAGCAGTCACACATAATTTAAATCTGTATCTCTAACAGACGAAACTTGTTCTTCGACACAAGTCATTGTATTTATCGAAATAAATGCTGCAATCTATCATCCGTTTTTACAGTTTTTCGCTATATAGAACGTGCGGGGCTTTAAAGTTTTAATTTAGTTTCTCGCTCGATTAATGCAAACTCAGGTCGCGGATTAGCATCAAATCGTAATCGCAAAGTACTTTAAATACGATTTCGCTCTCAAAGAAACATAATAAGGTTTTTCCATAACGCGGGTAACTTCGTTGAAACGCCATTCCGCCGTCAGAAACAAAATCGTCTGAAGCAACCAAGCAAGTCATTTCGATCAAAACGATACAGCGACGCTTAGAAGAAATGCCATTTCTCGCAAAACGCAACAGAAATCAGACCAAACAAACATAGCAACACGTTAGAAAAGTGCATAAGAAACTTATCGCGTTTTGCTAAAGATATAGCAATAACATTCAAGTTGTTGTGCCTATCGATAAAGATTCCCCGGATTTACGTATTATACAAATAATACTAATAATGAAGCTAACTCTAATTAATTTAATTAAAATAAAATAGCTTCAGTGCGTATATATGTGTGCGTGCGTGCGTGTGTGTTTGTGTGAAAATCCCGTATATTAAATTTCCTGCATAATCCATGGTCTTACAATTCGTATAACGATT